TCTTCCATCCATGTGTTCACTCCTCAGATGGCTGCAACCATGAAGGCTGGGCCAGGGGAAAGCTGGGGGCTCATCCAGGTCTCCCACCTGAGGGACAGGGGCCAAACACTTGGGCATCTTCTGCTGCTCTTCCCATTATCAGGGAGCTGGACTGAAAGAGAGGCAGCCATAAACAAACTGGCACTTAACATGGAATGCCAGCATTGCAGGTGGCAGGCTTACCCACTATGCCACAATGTGGCCCCAGTACTCACTGTTTACATCTCATGATTGACAAGCACCTGATTCCACTGTGTTTGCAGGAAGGCAAGGGTGGGAATGAAGTAGTCACCAGGCTTTCACTGTGGATAGGATTGTTGGAAATGCTGGAAACAAGAGAAAACCACACGTCACACACTCAAGGTCAAGCAGAGGAGGGAGGGCAATAATCCAAAGAATGGATTCTAAAATAGACTGTAAAAAATAATAAAAGGACTAGAAACAGAGTATACTCATTATAGAGCCATGACAAGGATTCTGGTATAAGTAAATCTGGGAGAGAAATGAGCAAGTATAATCATGGACTTGGAAAAATGTTCTATTTGTGGCAGATGGTGTCTGAAGCTGGCTTTCAAGTATGTTTTGTATCTGAATGTGTGAAAATTATGCAGGAATCTGGCCATGAAGCACCAAGAGGGCCTAACTTAAGGTGTTTCTGTTGTGTTCTGAAAGACGTGAGGGACACCTGTAGGGCTTTACTTTCTTAAGTGGCATTGTTACATTATAGAATGTGCTTAAACAGAAACTAAATGAACAAAACTAAGTTTTATATCTGAAAATGCACAGTTTTTTTCATTCTGGAGGCTGGGGTTCAAGGCCAAGGCTCCAGCAGATTCAGAGGAGGGCGCAGCCATGTCCTCTCCCCCATGAGTCCCACCACTTATCACCTCCCAGTCCCACCCTCCGGGGGGTGAGGGCTTCAACCTGACACTCTGGGGTAGCCCGGTGCCTCCCCTGCCAGATGAGCCAAGGGTGCTGTTGCCCCCTGGGGTGGGAGGGGCCGGGCAGGTTCAGTGTCTGCACCCCAGCAGCCAAGCTCTGATGGCCTCCCAGGGATGGACAGGGCAGGACACCAGGGTGGGGAGGACAAGGGCAGAGGCACGGCTGCCCGGCTGCTCGGCACCTGCCCTCCCCTCACTGCCTGGACACTGACCAGAACCTGGCCCCATCCCTGGCTCCTCACACAGTTAGGCCATCTTTGCGGAGCCCATGAGCACATGGTGGACACAGAAGGATGACAGTGGACACTGGAGGAAAAACTTGGTGAAAACGGTGCCCCAGGAAACTTCGCCAAGGCCTCCTGGGAGCTTCTGAGTGGGGAGACAGAGAGGAGAGAGGTGGTGGAGCTCCCCCACCACCGTGGACTCCCAGTCCCCTCATCCTCACGGTGGGAGGCACTGTCCCTGTAGCCCCTGTCCTTGTGGTCAGAGCCCAGCAGGTACCGGGGTGCTAGAAGGGCCCATAGGGGATGGGGGTGGGACTGCTGACCCAGGGACCACTTCTGCTGTTTGGGGTAGGACAGGTGCATAACAGGAGGTGAGGGGTGGGGGTGCTGTGGCTCACGCCCAAGGGAGGAGCAGGCAGAGACTGGGGCAGGCGGCCCGGGAGGGGGTTTGGGGTCTGGTCTCCAAGCACCTCTCATGCTGCAGCATGGGCAGAGACAGGGCATGGCTGGGCTCCCACCTGCCTGGGAGGGGTTTCCGTGCTCCTCGGCAGGAAGCAAGAGCCTGCCTTGACGGTTAGTCCCCCGCTGTCTCCGGATCCAGGGAAGCACCAAGCAGGGTCCACTCAGGATTTGTAGGCTCACTGGGCCCCCCACGGCCCGAGACGGGGAGCAACCCCGTGAGTGACTTCCAGGAAAGCACTCAGCAGCAGCCCTGAGACTCAGGCCAGGGCCAAGGTGGGAGGTAGCTTCGGGCCCAAGGAGGAGCTTCCAGGCACAGCGTGAGGGCGTGGCCTGGTCTTGGGCGAGACCTGGGCTGCTGCTTCAGCCTCCCAGCTCTAGGTGTGCGCCAGGGTCCCCAGCCTTGGGACGACCCTCCCAGGAAGCTGTCCCTTTACTCCTGGGGTCAAAAAGACGGAGGCTGGTCATCCCACTGGGACCCACCCTGGCGCCAGGCTCCTCCTGATCTGGGGCGCTGCGCAGGCGATACCCCGAGGCTGAAGAGGACGGGCTCCCGTGGCTGGGTTAGTGCAGTCGGCAGCCCGAGTCCACCCCTCTCTGGGCTCTGGCCTTCAGCCGCTTCAGGCCGCTGTTCACCAGCAGGCCGCTCTGGGCTGCTGTCCAGGCCGCGCTGCCCCTGGTGCAGGAACTGGCGGATGGTGGGGGTGCGGCCCAGCTGCCCCCACAGGCTGCTCTGGGCAGGGGCAGGTGCCAGCGTGAGGGCCCGCTGAAGGCTGCTGCAGCCCCCACCTCGTCCCCAGGCTCAGCAGCAGAAGGCCCTGGGAGCAGAGTTCCTCCGCCCACCGCGGGAAGCCCCCATCGCCTGCACCCTCCTGGAACAGTTGGTCCAGGTCCCTGAGGGCTCGGTAGCATTCCCGCAGCTGGGCCAGGCAGGGGGTACGCAGGCGCAGGTGGCAGGCGCCCCCACCACCGGCCAGCACGGCCAGGGGGAGAAGCCCAGCGCCTGCCGCAGCCGCCCCGTGTCCAGGAGGGCATTGGCATCCCGGGCAGGGCAGAGGCCTGCATAGAGGAGGGAGGGAGGGAGAGAGCCTGGGTCGGCCCAGCCCGCGCCCAGCGCCTCCCACCTCTGGGGCCCCCTCCCCGCGCTCCCTGCCATCCCAGCTGGCTCTGCAGCCCCTCCCGCTGGCCCTGCACAGGCTGTCCCCGCCCCCAGGACAGCGGCCCACCGGCCTCCGCGACCCAAAGCCGGGAAGGCAGCGAACCAACCAAGGGACAAGTAGGCTGTTGACCAGGCCTCGGCGCTTCCGCCACTCCCGGCCCCACCGCACCCTCCGGACGGCAGGGCCGGCGGGTTGTGCCCAGCTCCGGCCATGCCGCCGGCGCCTTCCTTTCCCTGGGCCGAGCTGAAGCCCCCTCGGTCACCCTCCTGGGCTCATGAACCCCCGGGAGAAGCTGTACGGAGAACCCGCCCCAGACTGCGGCCTGGCCCGGAGGGCGTGCTCAGGCCCCACACAGCTGGGCTGGTGGGCAGCGGGAGGAGCGCGCAGACCGAGTGGGGGACCGGCCGCCAGCCACCGGAAGTGGGGAACGGCTACTTCCGGTTCTGCTCGCTTCGCTCAGCATCCTCTTGGACAAAGCTTCTCAGAGATGCTGCCTCAGCCCCGCCTCCGAGCCCAGAGGCCCCGCCCAGTTCCTCCTAGAGCCAAGGGATCCCTGCCCAGGTGCTTATGAGAATTCTGAGACCCTGCTTCCAAGCCCAGAGGCCTCCCCAGCATGCCCCCCTAGTCGAGAGGACCCGCCCAGTCCCCCCCCGCCCCGTGAGCTCAGTACCCCGCCCAGCCCCGCCTCAGAGCCGACAGCCTCGAATGTGCCCTTGGTTCCAGGCTCCGGTACCCAGCCCACCATCGGGCGCTGTTGGTTGAGGCCGCGGGAGCTCCTGGCACGCACAGGCCCGGGAGAAGCTGTGGCGCCGCCCTGCACTAGGCGGGCTTGGTGCAGGGCGGGCCCCGAGGGATCTCCCTCCGCCCCCGGGAGGCTTACGCCCCCTGCGAGCGAGCCCAGAGGCCCGTGGCCGTCGCGGCCGGCGGCCGCAGACCAGGGTCCAGCCAGTGATGCTGCTCGCGCCCACCGCACACGCGATGCGCACCCCGCGGTGGCACCTGGGCGAGGCTTTGCCGCTGGGAGGCCTCCAGCAGCCGCAGCAGGAAGCCCAGGTCCCTGGCATCTGGCTCCGCCAGGCCCTGCAGGTCCCGGGCAACAGCCCGCGCATCTCCCTGCTTCAGCTGGCCCAGGCCTCCCTCCGGCCGTCGCGGACACCCGAGCAGGGCGCAGGGCCCCTGCAGACGGGCACAGGCTGCCTGGTAGCTGCTTGTAGGGGTGGGGGGCGCTGGGTGGGCGTGGGCGAGGGGCTGCGGGCAGAGGAACTAGGATTCACCTGCTGACACAGCCCCTGCCTCTCCTCCATGGACACCACAAGGGGTCGTCCCCCAACTAGCCTCAGCAGAACCGGAAGTGGGGACCCCGCTCTCAGGAAGCTGCTGGCACAGCACCAGGGTGATGTGGGGCAAGGCCACCCGGGCAGAGCCGGGCCTCCACGGGGCACAGAAGGGGGTCAGCGGTCATGGCTGAGGCCTCAGAAGTCACTGCCATCCAGGGTCGCTTTCCCTGCTGATCAGGTCAGAGGGTGGCGCAGGCCGGGCATACCCAGCGCCATGAGGGCGTCAGCCAGCAGCAGGTGCCCACTGGGCTGTGCGCCGTCCATCTGGACCAGTGCCTCCCCAGCGGCCAGAAGGCCCTGGGCGTTGTCCTCCCAGAGGGGCCAGCTCAGCAGGGCCCAGCAGTGAGCCTCCAGGCCCTGCACGAGGAGGCCCTGGGCGTCGCGCCTCAGAGAGTGGAGCTCAGGGACCACAGCAGCCAGGTCCAGCTTCAGGGCAGAGACGATGTTGGCCACGGTTTCCTGGAAGGGAGGCGGGCAGGGTGGGGCTCTGTCTGGAGGGGCAGCCCTGCCTGCCCCACCCTGCCCTGCCTGCCCCACCCTGGCCACGACAATGAACCCCATTATCCCCCACCCCGTTTCTGCTGGGCACCAGAAGGGATCTCTCGCTGGCCTCTGTCCTGAAGTGAGCTGCCCAGAGCCCCTGAACAAGGCTGGACACGGCCCTCAGAGCACACCCTCCCATCACCTGTTCCCGCCCCTCCCAGCGAGGGCAGCCTGCTGGTCTGGGACTCGTCCTCCTGCCTGGGCCACTGGGGACTGTGCCCTGAGGGTTTGGGAGTCAGGATCCTGCCCTGCACAGCCTGGGAGGCGGCCGGGGGTGGTGGTGCCTGGGCTATGACCCGTGTCTCCGCTGCCCGAGCTGACGTGAGCAGTGGTTCTCCTTGTGCAGCCGACCTTGCCTCCTGCTCTCGGGGTGACCCAGCCCAGCTGGATCTGCTCTGTGGGTGTTTGGCTGAGTGTGCACCCACATTTATAAGGGGTCGTGCATGAGGGCTTCAGCAGTCCGTGAAAATGCGTGTTATGCGGAGTCTAGGTGAGCTTTGCTTTTTTAGGTCTTTGCACCTTTTCCCACTGGCTTTCTGAAGGGGGTGCCTGCCTGGCTCTGGGGTCAGGGTCTGTCCCTCCTCTGCGGGTCTGTCTAAACATAGGTGCTTCACCAGGAAATCTGCCAGGCACAGAGCCTTTCGTGGTCAGGAGTCTGACGCCCCAGACAGGGCCCTGGTCTGTCGCTGGTCAGCTCGGGGGGGCCGGCCAGCCGTGTCCCTTCCCCACCAGTTTCTCCATGAAGGACTCACTCAGTTCCCCCTCCCATCCCTGCAGGGGTCTCTGTCAGGCCAGGGGGTACCAGCAAGGCCCACCAGGAACTGCTCGCAGGCAGGCCCCTGGCCCACACCCCCCATCCCCTGTGGGACAGGTCCCACCCCCCAGGGCTGTGCCCCTGTGCCCAGAGCTCAGCCAGGAGGGGAGGCCAGGTGCCCACCACTTGGTCACTGTCCCTAGGTGGACTTGGTTGGGGGTGGGGATCGAGTTGGGAAAGGGGCCTGACTGCCCACAGGGCCGAGGGGGCTGGGATGGACGCCTGGTTGGTGCCTGGCTGCTGCAGACGTGTCTTGGGCATTGGAAGTTCACCTGCATGGCCAGGGCCTGTGTGCAAGATGCCCCCACCCAAGATGGTCCCGGGGCGCACACACCTGAGACCAGCCCTGTCCTCGGACCTCACATCCCTGACCTGCAGCTCGGCAAAGACCGCCCCCATCCCCTCATGCACCTGCCACGGGATGGGCCTCTCGGGCAGGGGGCCGGCCCCTACCTGCAGCGAAGATGGCCAGAGATAGGTGATGGCATCCCTGGTGCGGGCCCTGCTGTCGGCTGTGCTTTGCCGTGCCTGCAGAATGGCCAGGGCCCAAGTATGGCAGTGGCCCTGGGGCAGCTGCAGGTCCTCGGGGCAGAAGACGTCCAAGGTGGGCTGGAGGCAGGCAGTGTCCCTGGCCTGGACGAGCCTCTTCACCAGCTGCAGGGGGAGCCGGTCACTGGCGCCCCTCAGGCACAGCTGCTCGGTCCTCCCCATGCTCCCGAGACTCTGGGGGTGCTCCCAACTCGCCCCTGGATTGGAGCCCAGAAAGTGCAGGGGGTGGCCCCGCTATGCCCCCACGAGGCTGGGGTGGGTGGGGGTCTCAGGGTCACCAGGCTCCCACACACAGGTGAACGCCTTGCCGGCCAGAGTGTAGGGAGGGGCTTCCAGATCCTCAAGTTCAGAGCCAGGAACAGAGCAGGAAGGCTCAGGGAGGACAGAACCCCAGCTCATGAGGCGGTCCCCAAGGAGACCCCCTGCCGCCACCTGCTGGCCGCTCATGCATGCTCCAGTGCCTTGGCCAGCAGCTCCTGTTCCAGGAGGCGGTTGCCCCCAGGGCTAGGGGGATGCTGGGGAGGGCAGGGGAAACAGGGGTGGACAGGACCCTTGGCCGGTCCTCCCCAGCCTGAAGTCTCCCTGCTCCGCACATAACCTGCTTCCAAGAGCGAGGCCCCTTGAGCGTGCACACAGGTGTGGGTGGGTCTCACTGGGGAGCAGAGGGGTCGCAGGGCCAGGCAGGCAGGGCCCCGAAGGCCAGGATTCTCCCTTGACCACCGGGGGACACCTGCCCAGGCTGTGTCCTGGACAGCCTGCGAGGCAGAGCACAGAAGACGGGGTCGGAAGTCGGAGCCCCCACCCAGGCTCCTCACCTGGTGGGCATCAAAGGTGAAGCTCCTGCGCAGCTGCACCAGTGCCAGCCGCACCAGCACCGTGGCCAATGGTGCTCCCTGCGTCAGGGCCACCCGCAGGGCCCCATGAGCATCATCCAGGCGGCCCAGGTGGTCCAGGGCATCGGCGACCAGCAGGCGCGCAGCCTCGTCCTCCACGTCCAGCTCCATTAGCAGCGAGGCCAGCTGGTACACACTGTGGGCATCCCTGTGGGAAGGTGGCTCAGGCTGGGCCTGCCACGCACCTCTCACCCACGCAGGTTGGGGGGACGCAGGCCTCCTGTGCACCTGGCCTGACGTCTGGTCAGGACGCGAAGACGCAGGGCTCCCAGAGGGACCCTCACGGGCTGCACCGACCCCAGGGACCTGGCTGCCCTTCCTGGTGGCCGACCCTGGGCCCCAGCCTCTGGCTCCAGCCTCCTGCCACCCCGTGGGTGGGCATTCTTCAGATAGCAGGCCTGGGGGCGGGCAGAGGGTCAGCAGGAGGGCTGACCCTGAGCAGACCCTGCCTCAGTTCTCCGTTCTGCAGAAGCCGGCGCGAGCCATTTGGCCCTGTGGGCTCAGGGGCACGGGTCGGGGGCAGACTGGATGATGGTGACACTTCCCAGAGAGAACGAAGGGAGTCCCTGGTCCCGAGGGTTTCTCCTCCCCAGAAGATCCAGCAGGGGACTGCAGGACCTGTGTGTGTGCTGATGTCACCGCTGCCCCCTGCCAGCTGAAGCACCTCCCACACACCTCCCCCCAACTGAGGAGAACGAATGGCAGCAGCTGGAGGTTCACCTGTTGGGTCCTTAAGTCTATCAAATGGGGGGAGGGGCTTCCAAAATCAGGGGCCATGCAGGGGAGCTGCTCCCTGACCCAGCACCCCCAGGGCCGTCTCCATGGTGAGGGGAGGGGGATGCCACCTAGAGGCCTTGGAACTAAGAGCAAAACATCTGGGGCTTTCAGGTGGGAGCAGGTGCACGCCTGATACACACCTGGCACAGCCAAGCTCAGCGCTGTGACCGGTATGGCAGGTGCACAGAGAAAGGACCAGAAGGAAATGGAACCTGGAGTGACCGGTGCTGTTGTCTCTCAGTGTCTGGCGGAGGGGTGTGTCCAACCCAGAGCCCAAGGTGTCCCCTGTGGCCCGGGAGCTCGCCCAGAACAGGAAGAAACACCGCTGCCCCCTTGCAGGACCAGACAGGAACAGCAGCCCCAGCACGCCCGCGCGGGGGTACTCACCCCTCCGGGCCGCGCTGCTGTCCGGCACAGCAGCCTGGCTTCCGCAGCCCAGCAGGGGCGGTCCTTCTCCCGCAGCAGGATCAGCAGCAGCCTGCGCTGGTTCCAGGGCACGAAGGCCTTGGCGGCCAACAGCGCTTCCTCTGGCCTAAACCCGCACGCGGTGACATAGTGCAATGTGCCCAGGCCACACAGCGCGCACGCAGCCGCCAAGGTGCGGCGCCCCCTGCTCCACCACCGCCTGGAAGTCCTCCCGGGCGCCCTGCGCGTCCCCGCCATGCCACGCACAAAAGCCTCGCAGCACCAGCAGCAGTGCGCGCTCCCTGGCGCGGACCTTGGTGGCATCCCCAAGGACAGCGGGCTGCAGCAGGCGCTCGCACAGAGCCCGGGCGCCCGCCACGTCCCCAGCCAGCAGCAGGCACTCGGCCAGGCGGGTGCCCAGAGCAGGCTGGGCCCCGGCTAGTGCAACGCGGAGCAGGATTCTGAGCGCGCAGGTCACCTGTGCCAGCAGCTCGCAATCCGCGTCTTCGCGGAGCTCGGGGCGGCTCCGCACGGCCTCCTGGAAGCGGGCGAAGCCCAGGTCCGCGGCCTCCTGGGCCTGGGCCCGGACGCGCTCCTGGTCCCGGATGGACAGCACGGCCTGGAACTGCCAGCGCGCGGTGGAGGGGCTCTCGCGGAAGGCGTCGTGCAGATCCCGCAGCATGTCCTCCACGAGGCTGTCCAGGAAGAAGGCAGTGGCGGCGCGCGTGACCAGCAGGGTGGCTAGGCGCTCACCTAGAGGATAGACCGGCGTTGGGGACCCCCTGGGAGGTGGCGCCCGAGGCCTCTTGCCCTGCCCGGGAGCTTTGGACCCCTTGCGGTACTTTCACTCTGGCGCCCAGCAGTCCAGGACTTGGGGCCGCGAGGACACGGGGGTCTTGAAGCCCCTCAGGGACAGAGCAGGGTGGGAAGCGGACCTCATAACCAGAACCCAAGTGAAGCTGGAGCTGGAGCTTCCTCGCCCCATGGCGGTCACTGAGGGAATTGGAGCACTGGGGTATCTCCTGGGGGACAGGCCCTGGCTCTGCCTGCGCTGGGAGGGGCCTTGGGTTTCCTGCCTGCTGGGGGCTACCTGGAGACTCCAGGCTTCTGTGCCTCCTTGGAAAGGATCTCCCTGTCAAGCCAGGGGGGAGGAGGAGGCAGCGGTGCCGCTGCCAAGCCCTGGGCCCTTTCCTGGGTCCCCTCGCCTGTGGCCTCTTCGGCCGAGGCCCAGAAATGCCAATGGTCGGCACACATGGGCCTGTGGGGACCCAGTGGGTCAGGCCAGGCTTGGTGCACCGCGAACATCCCCGCCACACGTGCGTGCACGGGACTGTGTGAGGGGGAAGGCAGCGCAGCAGGCCCAGGGCCAGGAGGAGCCCAAGGTTCTGTCTCCCCAAGCCGTACTCCATGGGGGGGGCCCTCAGCGCCCAGGAGAGCTCCCGGCCCAGGCCGCTTGTCCGACCCTGTGCCCGGCGTTCCTCCCAGGTCCTGCAGGGTCTCAGTGCTTCCTTCAAACCCAGCAGCAGTGGCAGCAGCGGCAATCCTCAACACCCAGACCCCTTGGCGGGCAGGAGGCCCGGCACGTGCACACAGGCGTGCACCTGGCTGCTGCTGTCCCCGCGTCACGGCGGCCAGAGTCCAGTGTGAGATCAACCCTGAGACCACCACCGCTGCCAAGAGGACCCAGCCTCGTGCCAGCAGCCGGGAGTCCCTCTTGTTGGTCGCTGCTGCACAGAGCAAGGCCGGCCCTGAGCTGTACATGTGTTCGGGGATCCCCGGGAGTGGCATCCAAGGAGACCCTGGGGGTGTGGGGAGTTCCTTACCCCTGTCCTTCTGAGAGTCTGGTCACACAGGGCTTCCTGCTGTGGCCCAAGGGTCATAGGTCACACACCTGGGGCGTCCTGCTGAGGCCCAGACGTCACAGGTCAGCTTTCCATCATGCCACGTCCATAGATCAACAGGTCCCTGGGGCAGAGCACTGCTGGGACACCAGCTTCACCTCCCACGGCCCTGGCTGCCAAGGGAAAACTTTGTTCCTGCCTGCATGCACCCACCGTCCAGCGCCCGTACTCACCATTCAGCACCCGTACTCCCTGTCCAGCACCTATGCCCACCCTCCAGTGCCTATGCCCACTGTCTAGTGTTTGCGGTCACTGCCGTCCAGGGCGCTGCCATCGCTCTGTCCAGGCCCCACACACGTCATCTGTGGGACACGTGGCTGGGCCGAGCGGTTCCCCCATCACGGACGTCAGTCCTTCTCTTGTTAGATTAAAAACGGTGATAATCCGAGGGTCTGCAAATGCTGCCCCATTGTTTTAATTTTTATTTTCCTGATTATCAGTAGGTCTCATTTATTAAAATTATTTCTTTTCCAATCTTGCAAGGAGAGAGAAAGTGGATTCTCATTACTTTAATGTGCGTGCGCCTTGTGGCTCGGAGCTGGCTGCTTTCCCGGGTGCTGCTCACCATCTGTGCGCTCTCTCGGGAAGTGCTCTCGCCTGCGCTCACCCTGGACGTCTCCTTACTGGGGCGCAGGGTTCTGCAGACGCCTGCCGGGCTCCTCTTTGCCTGGCGTGTATTTGGCAAATATTGTTCTGTGTTTTTAGATTGATTGCCCTTTGTTTTTACACTTATAGAAAAAAAGAAGTTTAAGACTTTTAATTCATAAAATATCCAGTTTGCCTTAGTTCTTTGCACTTTTGTAAAGCTCTTCTGGACCCAGAGGTCTCGATGGGGTTCTGGAATTTTCTTTCAGGAACTGCGAGGTAGGGTGGGTGTTTGGCACAGAGGTGAAGCTGGTGCTGGGGCCGCCCAGCTCACACTGAGGGCCTGGCTTGAATCCTACCCACTCCGCTTCCCTCCCAGCTTCCTGCACAGGGGCTCTGGGGGGCAGCAGGTGATGGCTGGGTTCCTGGCACCCACGTGGGAAACCCCGAGGGAGTTCCTGGCTCCTGGCTCCAGCCTGGCCCAGCCCGGGCATCGTGTGCTGGGAGGGAACCAGCAGGTGGAAGATCTCTCCCTGTTGGTCTCTGCCTCTCTGCCTTTCGAGTAAAATGTGGCAAAAGTGAGATGCGGTGCCATGGAGCTGTTCTAGAATCCACCGGGAATGTTGTCGGCGGGGAGTGCGGCTGGGGGTCAGCAGGCCAATGTCACTGTGGGTACTGAGGGCCCGTTTCTGCATCTCTGGCCTGCGTTCTTGCTTTTCTGTCCAAGCCCGAGGTTGTAGCCCCATGTCTGTTAGCCATTGGTAGGAGGCTCCCACCCACTTCCGTCCTTACTGCCCCTTGCCCTGTATTCTAATGCAGATCTGTCTAAGGAGGGCGTTGAGCATTTGTCCTTTAGGCAGTCCTTTAGGCTGGGCCAGACTGAAGCCAGGAGCCAGGAGCTTCCTCCAGGTCTCCCACGTGGGTGCAGGGGCCCAAGGACTTGGGCCATCCTCCACTGCTTTCCCAGGCCATAGCAGAGAGCTGGATCGGAAGTGGAGCAGCTGGAGTGGAACCAGTGCTCATGTGGGATGCAGGTTGGTGGCTTGACCCTCTGTGGCACGGTGCCGGCCCCTCTCCATCGCCCCTTAATAAAAGCCTGTGCTTCTCTTCATAAAGTCTTGTGACCCTGTGGCCTAGGGCAGGTGGACAATATGAGCACTGGTTCGAGTCCCAGCTACTCCACTTCTGATCCTGTTCCCTGTTGATGGCCTGGGTAAAGCAGTGGACAATGGCCCAAGCGCTTGGTCTGCAGCTCCCCTGTGCTTTCTAGGTCCCTGCCCAGCCACTCCCAGTGCCAGGGTTGGGGAGCAGTCACCGCAGCCTCCCTTGTGGTCCTGCCTGGCATCTCCTGCTCTCTCTTCACCCTACTCTGCTGTCTGGTGAATGAGCCAGAGTGGGCGGTGCCTCGTTCTTGAGTGGACCTGGCCAGCTTCACAACTACCATTGTCCAGGACACCAGCTGGAGCAGTTTTGTAATCCCCTCTTTCCTGGCTGATTAGGTCCTTGTGTGAAGCATTGCAAACCCCTTTTCTGAATCTCTTGCAGCCACGAGTCTTCTTCACTGTTAACAATGTAGCGAGTTGCATTCTTTTTTTTTTAAAGATTTATTTTATTTACTTGAAGAAGTTACAGAGGGAGGGAGAGACAGAGAGAGAGATCTTTCCTTGCTGGTTCACTCTCCAGATGGCCGCAACAGCCAGAGCTGAGCTGATCCGAAGCCAGGAGCCAGGAGCTTCTTCCAGGTCTCCCACACGGGTGCAGGGGCCTAAGGACGTGGGCCATCTTCTACTGCTTTCCCAGGCCACAGCAGAGAGCTGGATGGGAAGTAGAGCAGCCAGGACTAGAATCAGCGCCCATATGGGATGCCAGCACTTCAGGCCAGGGCTTTAACCTGCTGCGCCACAGCGCCGGCCCCAAAAGTTGCATTCTTAGGGAAAGGTGACATCCCGAGCATGACATCATTTTAGCTCAGTTTCCACTGAAGCTTGCGCCAGAACCTGAGGCTTGGCCGGGGTTACAGTTGGGGTCAGCTCTGTCCTGGCCCCCTCCCCCCAGGCACCGGGTTGCCCAGTGGCTTCCAACAGGCACCACTGATGTTCCCTGTGCTCCTGTGGCCACTGGGGGTGAGCCTGGGTCCCGAGGGTGGCTGGGCTGAGCCACAGTCCAAGGTGGCCCCCTTTAGGGCCGGCGTCCTGCTGCTGGGGGGTGAAGCCACTGCCTGTAATGCCGCTGTCCAATATGAGCACTGGTTCAAGTCCCGGCTGCTCCACTTCTGATCCAGCTCCCTGTTGATGGCCTGGGTAAAGTAGTGGATGATAGCCCAAGCACTTGGGCCCCTGCACCCATGTGGGAGACTCGGATGGAGCTCCTGGCTCCTGGCTCCAGCCTGGCCCAGCCTGCATCATTACAGCCATTTGGGAAATGAACCAGTGGATTCCATGAGGCCGTGAGAGGACAGGGACCCCGGAGATGGGCATGTGGCGCAGCAGTGAGGACACAGCAGGGGTGCCTGTATCCATGTGCTCGTATGTAACACGTGACAGTCCCAGCTCTGCTCCGGGTCCCAGCTCCCTGGGAGGCAGCAGGCGATGGCTCGAGTACTCAAGTGCCCGGCCCATGGGGGAGCCCTGGGGGAATCCTGGGGTCCTGGCATTGTGCTTGGCCCATAGGGGAGCCCTGGGGGAGTCCTGGGGTCCTGGCGTTGCTGTCGTAGGCATTTGCTGAGTGACCCTGCAGATGGAAGATCTCTCTCTGTGTCCACCTTTGGTTTTCTCTCTGCCCTTCCTACAAAATGATAACACATAAATGCATAAATTTCCCCCTCTGTCCCCACCTGGGTGTCATGCTATGGGTGTGCTGACAGCCAGGGCTCAGGGTAGCAGGGCGGGGGTCACGGCTGCCTCTCCGGAGGACTGGTGCTGGGCTCCCGAGTCGCTGAGTTTCCAGGGTGGGGTGATTCTACAGGGGGGCGAGCCTGGCCCCTCCCAGGTCTCTGCTGCATCTCCCCCTGGGCTCGCACACCCCCTTCATGAAGGGCCACTGCCAGGCCAGCTGTGACAGCCGGGCCGGCGGGAGACTGGCATTGTGGCTTAGCTGCATATGCGCTGTGCTCCTCCGGCACAGGCTGGGCTGGCTGCCAACTCCCTCTTGCCCAGGGCCACGGGGAGCCAAGGGTTCCTCCTTCAGCTTTGCACGTCTTTAAAATTAAAGCTGACTGCAAGCAACACATAATTGGCGTTTAAAGTGCTGCATTCGGCGATCTTTATCTTTCTGCTGGAGTCGCATTACTTTTACATTGAATGTAGTCGCTCTTACTTTTGGATTTGAATTTGCCATCACCCATTATTCTTTCTTTTGGACCATTGCTCTCTTGTCTCCTTCCTGATTTCCCTCCTGTAATTCCCTATGTCTCTGCTACCTTGTTGTGTAGATGTTTGGATTAGAATCACATAATATCACATAATATATCTATTGATCTTTCCTTAAACAGTGAAGACACACATCTGTGATTTATTCTCAGAGTCCTTTCTCTCTGACCTGTGTACACCTGGGAGATGTCATCATTCAGGCTGTGTGGTCAGGTCCCAGTGCGTGTGTGTGCACACATGTGTGTGCATGTCTGTGTGTGCGCATGTGCGGTCAGGTTCCTGGGCGCTCACTCAGCTGGCTGCCCCTTCTGTGCACCATCTCCTGAGTTTCTCTGTGTGCATTCACATGCGTGAGTCATGTGTGTACACACGTATGTGTGTATATGCACATGTGTGTGCACACCGCCTCCTCTCGGGTTTTATCTGCCTGCACCTGTTTTCCAGGCCTTCATAGACAGGCTTTATTGAGATACAGTCAGGGCTCTGCGTGTGCAGTCAGAGAGTCTTGGGGCAGCTGCAGGGTTGCACCACAGTCAGGCCCTGGGATTTCAGGATGTTCCTGCCCCCGGGTTCTGGGCTCTGCAGTGATGGAGCATGGGACCTGTCCTTTTGTGCCAGGCTTCCTTCCTGAGGTCCCCCGCACCTGGGGCCACCTGTCCCCCACGCCTGGCTCTCGAGGCTTCTCAGCACAGCCACCCTCTTTCTTGCCTGGGGCTGCATCTGGGGCCCAGCTGGGTGACCCACGCAAGCTCCTCCTCTTCCACCCTTCATTCATCAGCCTCATGGACACCTGTCCACAAGACCACACTGCAGGTTCCCAGGATGTTAAAAAAAATCTTAAAAAATAACTTATTTATTTGAAAGGAAGAGTTACAAACAGAGAGAAAAATTATCTATCAACTGATTC